GAGCAGAGCAGGAGGCGGGGTTATCAATCTACTTGCTCTGGAGAGCAGAGTTCGCTGCTTTTATATGCTTTCGCCAAAGTCTCCAGTAGCAGGAAAAAGTCGCTAGATTTGGCGGTAGGTGCTTTTTTGAAATCAAAGTGCTAGAGGGGTCTGAAAAGTCACTAAATATAGCGACAAAAACACTAAGTTGGCAACACTGCTCTATGCATCGTTTGTTTTCAAATGGTTTGCTGCTGTCTGTTTGGACCTTTCTGAACATGTGCAGCAAATGGACTGATCCAATATGGTGGACACTGAAGGGGGGGGTGGGTGGAGGTTGAGACTCAATTAGTGTGTTCTGTTAGTATCTTAGCGATTTATCTTAATCAAAAACGTGTGTACAAATAAGGAATAGTTGTCTTAACTATACATGCAGAGTTTTCTGGGGCCCCAACTGGGGGCTCTAGGCAACAGCTTATTATTGCCTAATTGTAAATCCGCCCCTGGCAGCAGACGAACCAGGAGATTCAGGAAGAAACTCAGCTGTCAACAGAAAGCAGAGAAGAAAAAGGATGAACAGGTCGTCTGTCTCTCCTTTATTCTGAAGTCTTTGTCTCCAAACACCAGCTTCATCTAAACTCTTCTATCCTGATTGTTCACAGCTCTTTCTGTCTTTATCCCGATAGAGCAGTTACTGCTGTGTATAAATGACTGGAGTTTGGTGGAACAGCAGCGTCTGATTCTATGCTTGGATTGCTGATCGATCAGAGTGAAAGGAAAACATCTCAGGAGAAATTTCTGATCAGCATCATTAATTTTTAAAGAAAAACCACAAAAAAACTGCCTGTCAACATACTCCAACTCTTTAGCCACATCTGTCAGAGATGCAGAAACCAGCTGTGGATCTGACAGTGAAATTTTGATAGACTGGGACAGTTTTTCCAGTTTGTCCTCAGTTTTTTTTGCAGGCAGCTTGAACAGAAGCTGTGATAACTAACATGACAGCTCAGGTAACTTTCCAGGAATTTCTTAGCTATTTTAGCTTGAGATAGAGCAAAACTCACCAAATGTTTTACATGCTTGATTAAAAATATTTCATGCTTTTTATTTTTTTCTTGCTTGGTTGTTTTTTTTCCCCAGCAGTGTTAACATCTAGGTGTGGGGTCACAGCTTATGATTGTGTGGCAACACTAAGGTAGGAGTCTGTCACCCTGCTTTGAGGAGCAGTGGAACTAGAAGTTGTCAACAACACCACCTTGGGAATTGCACCCAAGGAAATA